TAACTCCTTCCTTTGTCTGTTAACTTTAAGATTACTAGTGATAGTATGACACTAATTTAAGTTCACCTTTTATCCATCATACCTTTGAAAGAATCAAAGTAGCCTACCAAGGATTCATCAACCTGCTTGAAAATGAACATTTCTTCCCATAAATCATTCACCCAAGACGCATTCTTTTATATGGGGTAGGCCATTTGAATGACATTCTAAAACTTCAATGTAGTATTGTAAAACATGAAGTTTGCACTGAAGGCTTGGTTTTACACAGTTAACACTAAAGCCTACTTCTGCATGTTCCACATCCAAGACATCACCCAAATAATTATCTTGTTCCTATTTTTCATAGTTTTCATTAGTAGAAAACAACAGAGTAGAGGTAACCATCTACAACTTCCCTTCAGCTCAAGATCGGTACGTGGGAAGTGAATGCGATTAGGAGCTCAATCGGGAGCAGGGCAGCAGTCTAACACCACATTCAATTTAGTGTAGACTAAACCAGGAGAGAGCAAGTTTGTTCTCCCCTACCCATCACTTATGTTGTACTACCTTAAGTTAACTTCTCATTCTTTCTTCCATCACCCTAATCGCATCTGCACAGATCATGCTATGAGGGAAAAGCAGTGGAGAAAGGCTAGATATGAGAAAGAAAGTGGTGTGTGAGGGTGAAAATAGCTTGAGGTGCCAAAAATAGAGAACTGCAGAAGGTCCACTAGCTAGGAATACAGAAGAAATAATGAAGAGCATCATAAATGATATAATTTTCTTTCTCAGGAGGAAATTCTCTTCTTCGGAACAAAGGGATACACTTTTTATTTATTCTTACCATATTTAACCCAATATATTTACAAATCACTGAAGATACGACCGCACCATAACGTGAAACTACTCAAATAAAACCTAGCATCAACCAGTATAATGAAAATTACTCCTCAAAATGGTTTGACCTGATTACAACTCAAAACTATTTGCATTTGGAGAATGAAATTGCTTATGTTCTAAACTAATGAAGGCCAGATGCAATGTCCACATAAACAAACATGTAAACAAGGAAACAAACATTTCTATCAATTGAATCCATAGAACGAGCAAGAATTAGTAGAAAAAATCGATTGGAGAGTTAGCTGATAGCATAAGGGGGTTTTCATACCTCCTGCCAAGAGCTTGGAGAAAGTTTTGCATATTGCCAATGAGCAAGGCGAATAGCAACAAACCCAGGCCAACTATAGCCATAGTGAATAGAACTTCCCACTCAAAATAACTTGGAACTACGTTACCGGCTAAAGTGCTGATTTGCTGTTGACACAAATGCATATTGTTCAATGAAAAGGCAGACTTATTGCTTCAGATAACATAAAAAATGGTGAACGTACATGAGAAAAATAGTTTAATGAGATATATCCTGTCAAGTATCCCAATAAATAAACATGATATGGAATGAGAATAAGGCAGTATAATATTGATTCCAGTAGCACATTGTCACATGGAAATGGAAATAATGATATATTTGCTATGAGTTAATAAGTATTTGTTAATACACATATCACATGAAAACATGACCATTTTACATCTAATGCACTCACACACACTCCACAACCCCCACTGATCCCATCCCCTGAACTATCAAACATTCATACGTATTACTTCTAGAGAACTCCTGAACTGAAGCTTGAAAAATAGAAGACTTAATGACCAATCGATTTAATGAGCTCTTTAGACGCATTAGTCCTAATTTATGGCCTTTTTCTAAACTTATTTGCAGTTTGTCTGCACAAGCACTTTAAAAGTGTCGATTTTGGTTAACACAACTGGAAGTACAGTCATGTTTTCTAACCATAGTAGTTTGCTTTCTAGTTTTTGAAGCAATTAAAGTTTCTATCATCACAATCCTCAATTTTATATGAAGCACAGGCAGGTAGGCTGCAGGAAGGCGGATTCACGTGATTCCTACATTGCACCCAGATTTTATTCGTCTGTTTATTTCCACAATTGACTGTCTGTTAATTACTATTATAGAAGAGATGTTAATTTATAGGTCCCAAAAATAAGTCCACAACAGAAGGACATGTAAAAAAAATATTTATAAACCAAAGAGAAAGATGTTAATTTATAAATAAAATTGACCCTAAAATTTCATCTTCATTTTCAAAATTGGAACTTGGATCCATATACTTTTATGGTCATCTTTATTGCTCTGCAGATCTAATATGTGCCAGACTACCGGGCACAGCTTTTTGAATCCATCTCCTTCATTGTGTATTGTAGTCCATAGCCAAGTGTTGGTCTATAGGCCAAGTAAGCGATAAGCACGGCATACAATTAATTTTGATATGTAGCAAAATACATTATGTTTGCTAGCTTAAACATATTAAGAGATGTTGGAAGTAATATGCAGCCAAACATGTCAGAGCCTATACGAGTTACAGCCTAAGCCAAATGGGTTAGAATAAATACCACATTAAAACTCTCTCGAAATGGTTTCCCCAATGACATAATTACTAGATATCATTAGGTACATACTACAGTATACAACAATCTGGTGACTCATTCTAGAGTAAGAAATGTTTGAGAGGCTAATATCAACTTTGATCTAATTTAAGGTATATCTAAAACCCTTTTGATTATGGATACATTTAACTACTCTTTGACAATCTTCTTTTTCCTTCTCTTCTTTTCTTCCTTCTTGTGCTTTTCTTCTTTTCTTCTGCTCCAGAAGTACATCTGCTGCCCGCTGTGTTACTTGTAGTTGTTGCTGCTGTACAGCTGTCAGCAGCACAGTAACAAAAGAGCAGCTGCTGCAGCATAGAGTATGAATAAACCAATAAAAACAGAAGAAGACAACCAGGTGAAGGAGATGAATGTTCTTTTATGAAAT